GAGAGAGAAGGTGTCATTCAAAGCTGTCCTAATCAGGCACACAGATTTAAGTTGTGACACTGCTTCAGCAGAAACAGAGGTATTGAATGATAATTCTAGTTTTCTAGTCTATTGTATAAACTGCAATGATTATTATTTCCTTTTATTCCTAGAGGAACATAGGGCTTCAGCCGCACGTCTCCATTGCGTTCGGTTCTCTGCTAGAGTCTTCACCTGGCTCCAAGTCTGCCCACACGTTTTCATCTCCTCTTCACATGACCTCCTCCAAGTCACCCTTGGACGACCAACTCGTCGCTTCCCTTTCGGCTTCCACTCGTGGGCCTGTCTAGTGATGTCACTTGATGGTTTTCTCAGAGTATGGCCAATCCACCTCCATTTCTTCCTGCATATTTATAGCGCAATCGGTTCCTGGTTGGTTCACTCTCACAGATCCCTGTTGCTGATCTTTCCTGGTTGGCCATCTGATCTTGAGTACTGAGCGAATACAGCTGTTGATGGAGGTCTGTAGTTTGCTCGAAGCGCTCTTCATGACGCGCCAAGTCTCTGATCCTTATAGTAAGTAGCACTGACTTCACATTGGAGTTGAAAATCCGGATTTTAGTTTTCATGCTGAGTGCTGTTGACCTCCAAACAGACTTGAGAGTAATGAAAGCTTGTCTTGCTTTCCCGATCCTTGCTTTGATAACCTCGCTAGTTGAAACGATGTCTCTCAGGTAGGTAGGTGAAGGAGGTTGTTTCTTTCAGGTTCCTCCCATTTATGCTGATTGTTGTTGTTGCTCTTATTGTTGCCCAGGAATCTTCATCACTTCTGTTTTCTCGATGTTCACCTGAAGTGAAGTCATATCTTCGATGCTTCTTCTGCCAACTTGTTGCTTTTCACTTGCATATCTTCCAGTTTGTGGGAAATCAGACATATATCATCGGCGAAGTCCAGATCCTCCAGGTTTCTTGTGTGGGTCCATTCTATGCCTGTCTCCTCGTTGCCCACTGTCTGTTGCATTATCCAATCTACCGCAATCAGGAAAATCATTGGCGATGATTAGTCAGTAAATATTGAACCGTACTAAAAAGTAAAACACTAAACTATCCTAAGTACTGATTATCCACGTTTAACACTTCACAGTCCTATGAACATATAAGTGATATGAAGCAGTAATATTTACATCATATATAATGCTACGTTTTAAACCTTTAGACTAAATGTGGATTGTAGATTTAAAGGTAATAAGAGAAAGCGTAAAAACTAATGACGATTTGTTGGATTTCTCGTTAAACGCTCTAGGTAACTGACCAGATAGCGGGTTTTATTCGTTACAGTTAAGTGACTTGAAATACTACGCTGAAGTGATTGGTGTACCCACTGCCTTTCTCAGATTGGGCGCTGTTCCGAGGTCTTTGGCGTGTTCGTTCCCCTCTGAGCGCCTATTCTTTAACTATTCTCACATTTGAAAAGATATCAAGAGAAAATTTCTCACATGAAAACCTTCAAGTCCTTAGAAATACATTCTATTATCATACATTAGTATGATAATTGAATGCATTTTATCAAAAGAGGAATTTACTTAAGTTCTATTCTAATGATACTTCCCTTAAATTTCCAGTATTCTTTTGCTGGTATGTTTTTCTACGCTAGATATTAGACAATAACACCGCCCATATGTCGAAAAATATCTAATTGTGACCTTAGTCAACCATTGTGACAAAAGTCAGGCACATTCAAGACTATAAATACAGAATCAAAATTGTGTTTTGTTTTCTTTCTCAGTTTTATAGATTTCAAACCACATAAGTCATAATTTCCGTGCAGTTTCTATTGATAATGAGGGCTAGGTTCGCATACGCCAGTTTACGCCGTCTCTGGCGTAGACGCGATATCCGACTATCGACCAAAGGGCGTGTTGTACTGCTCAACAGTCCGCTCCGTCCTCCTTTATAGCTGTGAGACCTGGCCATTGAAACTGGAAGACATGAAAAAATTAGCTGTCTTCGATCATAGGTGTCTGCGTTCCATCTCCCGCGTGAAGTGGTATGATAAGGTGAGCAATATTGAGGTTAGGTATCGAGTGCTAGGTAAGGCCGGGAAATCAATCGATGAGACTGTGAAATTACATCGACTGAGATGGTTGGGACATGTGTTACGTATGCTGCTGCTGCTGGATTCAACATAGAACTTGGCACCGAAATGCAGCAGTTCGAGTTGCCACGTTCCAAATAGTACACAAAGGTAGACAGGAAAATGCGAGAAGAGAATCAATAGAATTTAGATAAGTATAAGAGTGAAACAGAATGAGTAATGGTAGAAAGGAATATGAAGGTTAAAGAGACTGAATACATCTGCGTAAGCCATTGACAACGATTTTGAGTCATGTCACCTATTGTCTCCAGCCATTGATTCTTAGAGTCCCGAGGGCCCCAACCCGGAAGTCTGCATCTCCCTACCTGACTCAGTTTAACTGTCAGGGATTTCATGGATTGATGCCATGTTTTTGTTTGGCCACCATTTACTCTTTTCCAACCTGAACCTATATCAGCTAGTAATGCCCGTCGGGGGAGACGATGGTCAGGCATGCGCAGCACGTGGTCTAACCATCTCAATCTATGTAACTTCATAGCCTCTTCGAGTTATTTTCCCTCTTTGCCCAACACTCTACGCATAACGTCAACATTACTTACCTTATTATACCACCTAACGCGAGAAAGAGATCGTAAACATCTGTGGTCAAAAACAGACAATCTCTTCATGTCTTCCGCTCTCAATGGCCACGTCTCACCGCCATAGAGAAGGACGGAGCGAACTGCTGAGCAGTATACACGTCCCTTGGTTGACAGCCGGATGTCACGCCTACGCCAGAGACGGTGTAAGTTAGCGAAAGCAGCCCGAGCTTTCTGGATCCGTGCTGTGATTTCGTCACCAATCAATCCGTTGGTGCTGATACAACTTCCCAAATAGGTGAAGTGGTCAACATGTTCTATCATTTCACTCCCTATCACTATGTGTTACGTATGCCTAGTCATCGCCTTCCTCGACGGGCAATGTTAGCTGATATAGGGCCAGGCTGGAAAAGAGAGAGCTAGCGGCGGTCAAACGAAAACATGGCACCAGTCAATGAAATCCACAACAGTTAGTCTAAGTCACGTAGGGAGATGTAGACTTCCTGACTGGTTGGGGTCCTCGGGACGGTAAAACCAATGGTTGGAAACAATTGGTGACATGGCTCAAAATCGTTCTCAGTGGCGCAGATGCATCCACTCCTTGTGACTTATGATTTCCGATGAAACTGTTTTGTTCTTCGTTAATACTATTCCTTTGTCTCACACCTCTGCTTACTGTCTATATTATTATGCATTTCTCCTACTTTCTTCTGTTGCTTTGTGTGCTACATGGAGGGAGTGTGGCGACTTGAACTGCCGCACATATGTGCAAAGTTCTATGTCGAAAACAGACAGACAGATTGATAATGATCGTATATGCATACCGACTGAAATGTACTATAAGAAAAAAATGTCATTTTGTAACCACTTGACTAACCTAGGTTCGAGTCTTAGTGGGATTCAAGGTTAATTTTGATCACCAACCGATATCGGCTAGATAATTATTAAAAGTCTCGGAGGATTAAACACTGCTCAGTATTAGCCAATATCCACAGGCCTATAACATATTATGCATGATTAACAATCTGGTGACTAGCTTCAAGACAGACTTCTGAAAATTTTAAGGAGAAATTCTACTAAATTCCACTGGTGGAACTCATGAACAATTAGATTATAATGCAGAGACTGGAGAGTTTTGAACTTCGTGCCTCCCGACGTAATAGTTACGTCAAACAAAAAATAAACGGGATGAAATAACTGTTAATTATTCATTTTGATATTCGTTGGTTCTCTGGATAGTATCAGTTATTCAAAAAAGTCGAATTTTTGTCCCGCTTGATGTTGAGTAAAGGTGTAATTCACAATGTGCACTTTGTCCTCTTTAGGACACCTGTCTTTTCAAATGAATGATTGGAATCTCAGTGGAAATAACATCACCTATAGGTAGTGCAGCGGTACATTCAGATGACGAGTCCTGGATAGGACGAAATGCACATCTAAAATTCCACACCACTGCTATTGGTGTCACCGTCAATTTGAAAAACATCATGTTAATCCTAAGACATCGTTGAAGCGTCCGTATTAGAAGCTATCATGTCAACAGAGGAACAAACATTTCGGTCTAACACATAAATAAATCAAAGAGAAATACAAAGCCGAATTAAGCTATGAAGATGATCTAAATGCGTAGACCATCTGAATTCTTATGAACAGTTCAATAACAATAGAATGATAAATATGAATTGCTCTTACAACTTCATCATCATATATAATAAGATAATTTTATTTTGTGATGTTCAATTCAACTAACCTACATATTTTAAATAAGAGAGAATTAGTACTTTTCCGATAGTCGTGTGCTGACTTGTCAAAGGTTGAAGATGAGGCAGTAACTCATCGAAGAAGACATTGTGAAATGGTCACGTTATCTCGTGAATTGGCAGAAGTTAGAATTCATGGACTGACCATTGAATCGGGTCCCAGTGGCTCAATGATCTACGAGCTATCTGGCCTTGTAACCAGAAGGTCTTGGGTTCGAACCCTCTGTGGTGGGTGCGTACCGCTGAATAGTCTCAAACTGGGACGAAGCAGCTGTCCAGTACTCCAGTGCTGGTCTTCCATTGGTTCTCTAACTGATGTCAATCAGCTCATGATGAAATCCTCCATCCAATTAACAACAACAAAAATCCCTACAAAACCAATACTTGAAAAGATATCTCTGTCATCTTGTCTCTAGGCACGTTTGCCTTACATGAAATAGAATTTGGAGAAAGGCCAGAAATATTTAGACCGAAATGTAAATTACCGTCACTTGAGAGTCATCGCACTCTTCTACTCCTTCGTCTTTTTCAGAGCTAGCCTGATCTCTACGAATAGATACACACATTATGTATGTAATTAGTTCTTTTCTTGTAAATTATAACCCCCACATTATAAGGGGGTGGGTGGGGAGGCTTTCAAACCGGTAAAAAAATGAGAACAAAAAACAACACCGGAGCACCAAAAGAATAGTGATTGTACACATCATGAAAGTTTGCAGGGGAGAAAAGAAATATGTATACTCACTTCGAGTTTGCCTTGTTACAATTGGAAGAGCAGTAACAATAATAATAGATGCTGAATATAATACTTATTAATAGTGTTTGTGTGTGTGTGTGTGTTAGAAAATAGGTTCACATAGATATGTTGGTTGTTCTAGCTGTTGGTTATTGTCCATGCACTACTCACTACTCACTGCTGACAAAAATCTGAATAGCGCGGAAAACACAAAAATGGTGGTGGTGAATTGAGAAAAATAAGATGACGAAGAAGTCGAAGAAGGATGGAATCACTGAATACATAACAAAAATTTCTTTTTATAGAGTAAAGTAAAGTAAAAAAAGAAGGTGAAGGCATTATTTTATATAAAAAGGTTGAGTATGTAATAACTCACGACACTAATATATATTTATATGTTGAAAACTGTCTGTAATCATTATATTATGTGTCATGAGTAACATGAAGTCATCCCGCATTATTCTTTGATATTACAAACAGCATCATGGATAGCTTTAGAAATACGTTCAATATTTTCTGTGGTTAACGCGCACATATTAATACGACCATCATTCATCACATATAAATGATGTTTTGATCGAAGATATTGAACTTGTGATCCTAGTTTTTATTAAATAAAAAAATAAAAATAAGAGATGAATGAATGAAGGCAAAGAAGTGATGAGAACTTGAGTCACAAAAGAATTCAAAATAAACAACTTCCGTATTAGCTCTGCATTATCTCTATACTCTGCGCCGGTGGTACAGCAGTTAAGACGCTCGCCAACCATGCATATGGTCTGGGGTTCGATTCCCGGCCACTGACGCACTCTTATACCTAGCTAAGCCAGAAATTAAGCTGGTTAAGAGAAAACGTTGGGCATGAGGCTGGCAATCCCATCCTGTAAAAATAAACACTGCTACAGAAACTTCAAGCCTAGCTTCAAGCTTGAAGCCCTATGTCCCACTGGGAATGTGAAGGAATTAATAATATATAATAATAATCTCTGTAGTCTACACCACAGCCGATTGATCTACACGCATCCTAACACCTACCTACTTCTGTTTTTAATCTCACCTTTATTTCGTATAATATCAAAATTTACACTAGATAACACGAACGAGAGTACACAGTATTACTGCCTTTTGCCCGTTAAGCCTTAAGAGTAATTTACTTGATAATATTTCAAAGAAAGAAAAACAAATACTCCGGAGAAGATTTGCAATTAGTAGTGTTCTCTGAGCTGGTTGGTTTAGTTGAGGGGCTTTCGTCGTCCTTCTGGACAACATCCTCCCCTTTCAGCGCAATTTTTAGCATGAATTGAACTGATTTAAATTTTTTTTCCATGAGTGATAGAATTGCGTCTGCCGGTAACCATCTTTACATATGTAGTGATCATTTTCTATTTACTCGGATTTTAAACTTTCTGGTCACGTGATTTACTGTTTATTAGTTGGTATATTTGATCTATATTAACATGTATGTTAATCGCATATTCGTTTGAGTACCAGGCTTTCTAGGAATTTCCTGACTGCATTTTTGATGTTTATTCTGTCTAAAATTTCGACATTATCCCAATCACCAAATTGGTGTCCATAATTATCTATATGCATTGATATGAAACAGGAATATATATCATGTCTTTTCACAAGTGATTTGTGTTCCTGGATTCTGATTCGAAAGGGGATGCCTACTTTGGCCGATGTAATGTCTGTTACAGCTCATACAATTTATTTGTAAATGATATTAATTTTATCTCCTTTTTCTGTTGGTTTTTTCGGTTTGCACAATATCCATGAATGAAATGATTTGACTGGCTTGTGTGCTATGTCTATTTCAAACAGTCTCAGTATTCTAGCTATTATTTCAGAGATATTTTTTATATATGGTAGGATGAATTTTCTTGTAGTCTTTGATGACGGTTCTTTGTTAGTGTTATGATTCGATTTTAAACACTTTTTGATGAAATTGTGAGGGGGATATCCATTCTTTTTGAATACCGTTAGTAGGCATTTTTATTCCATTCTTTTCAACGCTGAAGTGCTACAGTGTGTGTTTGAATTCTTTTACTCAGGATGCACATAGAAACAAAGTAGATAATACGAAACTATGTAAGAGATCTAAGTGAATACAAGAATTATAAGCAACTAAGGAACAGGCAAAGAAACAAAGTTAAGTTATCAGAATAAAATAAAATAAAAATAAAAAAATCAAAACATTGTTACCATGAGAGTAGAAGTGGTTGAGTAATCTTCTTTTGTATGCACAGCTCCGGTTTTTCCATATGAATGGCTAGAGCTTCAGCGATACAGAGGAGACGAAACCGTATTGCCTTTGATAGGTTGTTCTTGACTCTGTAGATTACTCTGAAGGAGGCGTTCGTTGAAATGCAATGATCAGTGCTGACCAGGTGTTCAATTATCGCACTCCTTATTGCACCAGTATTGCCTTTTCGCAACCATGCTGGATAGTGTTCTTGAATCCTCTTGGACAGGATGCGCGTCGAACGACCGATGTACCTGGCTCCACAGCAGCAGGTGAACTGGTATATGCACATAGAAGTGGCCAGATGCGGGATCTTGTCCTTGAGGCTTCTGCAGATTAGTGGGCGACTGGAGAACACTATTCTTAGCGTTGCTGCAAAGAATGTTCTTCTCAGAGATGATGTGATCCTTCTCTTGAGAATATCGCTTGCTAAATCTCCCTTGAAATCCAAGTTCATGTAGATTTTCTTTTTAGGCGCAGTCAAAGTTTCGTTTTTCCGAATTATTGGTTTCATATTTTTGTCGATAAATCTTATTGGGTAACCATTCTGGATGAATATTTCTCTCAGAATATCTAATTCTGTTTCCACAACGTCGGGACTACAGATGCGTCGGATGCGGGAAGCAAGTGATTTAATTAAATTCCGCTTTTGTTGAATAGGCACCCAGCTGTAGAAGCTTGTTAGTTGACCATTCCATTCAACAAAAGCGGAATTTAATTAAATCACTTGCTTCCCGCATCCGACGCATCTGTAGTCCCGACGTTGTGGAAACAGAATTAGATATTCTGAGAGAAATATTCATCCAGAATGGTTACCCAATAAGATTTATCGACAAAAATATGAAACCAATAATTCGGAAAAACGAAACTTTGACTGCGCCTAAAAAGAAAATCTACATGAACTTGGATTTCAAGGGAGATTTAGCAAGCGATATTCTCAAGAGAAGGATCACATCATCTCTGAGAAGAACATTCTTTGCAGCAACGCTAAGAATAGTGTTCTCCAGTCGCCCACTAATCTGCAGAAGCCTCAAGGACAAGATCCCGCATCTGGCCACTTCTATGTGCATATACCAGTTCACCTGCTGCTGTGGAGCCAGGTACATCGGTCGTTCGACGCGCATCCTGTCCAAGAGGATTCAAGAACACTATCCAGCATGGTTGCGAAAAGGCAATACTGGTGCAATAAGGAGTGCGATAATTGAACACCTGGTCAGCACTGATCATTGCATTTCAACGAACGCCTCCTTCAGAGTAATCTACAGAGTCAAGAACAACCTATCAAAGGCAATACGGTTTCGTCTCCTCTGTATCGCTGAAGCTCTAGCCATTCACATGGAAAAACCGGAGCTGTGCATACAAAAGAAGATTACTCAACCACTTCTACTCTCATGGTAACAATGTTTTGATTTTTTGATTTTTATTTTATTTTATTCTGAATTCTTTTAAACAATGTTTGCACTCCGGAGAAGAGAGTGTTCTGTTTTTTTGGCGAATTCACTTTTTCTGACTACCAAAGACAATAGACACTTTCGCCTACTTATATAGCATCGTTGAAGCTGTAGGTCTACATACAGAGGAAAAAACTGGTGCACTTGAACCACTTCTACCATTATCATGACAATGACTCTTTAATTTTCAGTCAATTGGGTATTTTAATTTTTTTTAGTTTTGTTGTGTTTTCTAACTTTTACCAGCACCTATGAACGCAAATTTCCCTAGTTTCTCTTTATGAATTCTGACTACAACTCACAGTCATACCGAACTCATATACATATATATCCCCTTTTATTTATTCAGCTTTCTTTATCTATTGATTAGTACTAACAATTGTGCGCTTATGACACAATTCATCTTCTCTCTCTCTTTCTTTGATTACTATTCACTCATTCACATAGTTCCGGTCTCCTAATACTTTTGTTATTTCCATATCATACATAGTAGGTAGTGTTGTTAATTCTTGTGCAATATATAATTGTTGTGGATAGGTTTTGTACAAATAATTTCTACGCCATTTTACTAACAAGGTTACTGTTATCATCTATATATAAAAATAATAATAATGAACAGTAATCAGGAAATGTCTTTCAAGCATAAATCAATAAATTCGTATATAATAACTGCATACAGATTATAGTTTATGTTAAATATGTGATTTTCATGACTTTGAGATTTGATTTATTTGACCAAGTTTGACCAAGGATTGAAATCGATTAGAGAGAGGGAACCATTGAAAACCAGTACTGGAGTACTACTGGACAGTTGTTTCTAGACCGAAGTCGTGACCAGTGATGAAATTGGTTGGTGCCAGTCGCGCTAAAATCACGGATTGGTCGAAGTTAGAATTCATGGGATTATCACCATTGAGTCGGATCCCAATGGCTGAATGGTCTACGAGCTCGCCTACCTCGGATTCCAACCCTCGCGACGGGTACGTACGGATGATGAGTCCCAAAGAGGGATGAAACAGCTGTCCAATACTGCCCGCTCATTCTCAATGATTCCACTAACTGATATCATTCCGTGGTTAAACTTGAAACAACTATGTGCTTGTTGTAAGCTAAACCAGCCACAGTTTTCTCCTCTTAGCTACTGAATGTAGCGACGAAATGAGACAAATCAAGTCAGTATTTGTCAACACACTCGCAACTTAAGTTATGTAGGGTACTCGAAAGTCTCAAGTTTTATTTAAGAATAGGCTGGATCATGATCTACAAACAGCATTTAAAGACTTTTCATCTCATAGATTCTTCTTGTTCTGGATATGTGTGAAATTCCCCATAAGCATTGAAAAAGGAGTGTGTCAAACGAAGACGAAACAGCTGTTCTACACTCTCAAGTTTCAAATATTTTTCCTATTCAGATGTAATTCCATAAAACAGAGAAAATCTTTATATATATCAACAAATTTTTATTCTCCTTCAAATCACAGTATTCAGTAGTACCAGTAAAAGATAACAGACTTGGTAACGGAGTACGTTTATTTGGAATTTGGTATATCTGTGTCTGTGTAGCGAAATTGTGTACACCTAATCTCCAAATCATCGTTTGCACAGATTGTCCTCCGTGTTGTACTACTTCTGCCCTTCCCTCGTATTGTGTTTCTTCGTCCTCCCCTTTTTACGTGTCCCATGTTTTGGGCACAATGCTGAATCATTCACTGTCTTTTTGATGTCAAATTTACCTCCCTGCTCTCTGGTATTTTTATGCCGATGAACATCCCTATATATATACTACTGAAAAATCCTCTTATCAGTAGCACACGCCCCATAGTGATCTTCTAATCGGTGTTCAATAGTTTCAGACAATACACATAAAGTCCTGTCTCAAAGTGCTTTCATGGCATTCTGTATTC